GGGGTGAGTTGGGGGAAGTATCTGCAGAGGGTTCTTGGTAACTGGGAGAGAGCAGGGACATCAGCTACTTGTCAACCCATTCGAATATTTTAACAAGTGTAATGACTACACTGGTATGAATAGTGGTACTGAATATCAATCCTGCTTCTAGTTGTTTTCTATCCACCTGTTAGAGGGACTGGACACTGGAAACATCCAAGTAAAACCAAGTCCTGCCTATTAACTTTATAGTCTTCCCTTTACAAGTTTAGTGCATGTGGTTCTATGAAGACTTTGCCCTAACAAGTCACCAAGTTGGTATGTTGCTGTTGAGGTCTCCCTGGAGTCAGCAGTTATCCTGCACACCCCCAACTTTATTGTGATATAAATGACATATAATATCCCATACTTTCTAACTGTGTGTGTATATTTAAAATGTTTTATTTCCTGCTCCAAGGCCTCATCTCCATATTACATGTCCCCTCTAACTTTGCAGTAGAGAAATAAGAACTGATTATACATAGACACACCACAGATAAATGCCCCGACATGATTCTCCATCTACTTAGTTGCTGTTGTTTTTTTCTAACTCCTTATTATACTAGTCCCAGACACTTTTATTATCTTTTATTTGATTTTCAGGTTTCTCTGGAAACTGAGGCTCCTGAGAATAGTATTGGCATTATTTCTCTGCCCTCATCGCTGATGAGTAATTTACCGGCTAATGATGTAGAGCTAGCTTCCAGGGTTCAGTTCAACTTTTTTGAAACACCTGCCCTGTTTCAGGTAAAGTTGACACTAACTGGTTTTGATTTAGGTTTTATTTGGAAGTGGGGTACTTATTCTTCTTTTAATCCTCACATATCTTAAGTCTGGTATAAGTCAAAAGAATTGCCAAAAAGCTGCAATTTATTTTTAAACAGGACCTAAGGATGCTAGTGATGATACATAACAATAACTGATACTTATGTTTACCAATGCCGAGCACTATCCTAAGCACTTAGAAATATTAACTCTAATCCTCTCAAGAACTCTGTGAGGAAGGAACTATTAAACTACAGTATTTTTCCCATTTTACAGATGAGAATATGAAGACACAGAGAGGTTAAGTAACTTACTTAAGGACACACAGCTTAAATGGCTTAATGTTATGTTCCCTTTAAGATTCATGAAGGTCCTGTTGGATCAATCTGTGAACTTTAACCGGGTATTTAGAGCACTGTATAGTGCAGCAAGTTCTGCTTCTACTTACAGCCCTTGGGAAAGTCACTTTATTCCCTGACCCTCAATTTCTGACCTAAAACAAACATTTGGATTAAATAGTCCTTAGGGTCCCTTCAAGCTCTAAAACTCTCTAATAACATTTCATTTTCCCTTGCCATTTTGTTGATTCTTTGGTGTGCTAGGACCCTTCCCTGGAGAACCTCTCCCTGATCAGTTACGTCATATCATCGAGTGTCGCGAACCTGACTGTCAAGAACTTGACAAGAAATGTGACGGTTACATTAAAGCACATCGACCAAAGCCAGGTGGGAGAGTCCTGTTTGGGCTGTTCACTGATCAGAAACATCTTGTGCAAACTATACCTGGAAGATTTGGCCTGAAAAAGGAGATACAGCAGAACCTTAAAACTCAGGGCAGTGTATAAGACTAGAGTCACATAGTCACTCCTTTGAATTTTAACATGCCTAAAAACTGACCAACCACCTAATCTCCAAGAAGGATCAATGCAAGAGCAAGATCATCAATTGCTGAATTTCATTGCATTTCAAACCATGGCTGCAGGTCTGATTCTCACTTCCAAAGAGAAAACAACTCTCAGTTCAGTTCACATTGAGCGTTATCTATGATCTCACTACTCAAAGTGGAGTCTGTAGACTCTTAGGCCTCACCCCAGACCCACTGAATCAGAATGTGCATTTTAACAAGGCCTCAAGGTGATTCTTAGGCACAATTGCTGAGTTTAAGAAGTGCTGACTTATATAAGACTCAGTTGCTTCTAGGGACAACTATAAAATAAGAAGTCTCCAAAAATTAAAAATGAGATTCTGAAATAAAGAGAAATCGGTTTTTTCTTCCAATTGCTTTTCAGTTTTTCCAGTTCAGTAAATTAATTATTTGTGTTGTATCTTTCTACTGCAGGATGACTTAACAGTAAGATGCGTATTTTGGGACTTGGGCAGAAACGGTAGGTTCCAGTCATACCTTTTTCAAAGTCTTAAGTGGGTCAGGGTTGGGGGTAGGGGAGAAAGGGCAGTCATTGGTGCTGTGGCCTTGCTGATGGAACAGATACCTTCCCAATGCCAACAGGTGGCAGAGGAGGCTGGTCATCCAATGGCTGCTCTGTCAAAGACAGGAGACTGAATGAAACCATCTGTACCTGCAGCCACCTCACAAGCTTCGGTGTCCTACTGGTAATATTTCCACACTACCTGGCCTTAGACTGTGGGTCTGAGGGGTAGCTGGGCATCATACCATGATGTCTAATCTGCTGGATGACTTTGATAGCAGATATGATATTGTGGCAAAGTTATTGACCAATGAAATTACTCTTCTAATAAGTAAATGCACTTGAAGGACAATATTTAAACATGGAAGTATTTTTTCCCATTTTATTTTTACATTTAAGCTTTACTCACTTAAATAGTAGGAGGGCTAGGGAATTCAGATTAAAATGGGTAATAAAAATGGATAATAAAAATTGTTTAGTTTGCAATGCACTTTAAAATTGTTATAAAACACATTGACATAAATTATCTTATTTAAATCTCCTCAACAGCCCTGCAAGATAGGTAGAATAGAGCGTTATTATTGTCATTTTGATGAAGTCAGAATTAAGACTTGTTAGGTAACTGTCCAGTCATAGAACTAAGAAATATATGACCCAGAAGCCAAATTCAAGTCTTTAGACTCCTAGCCCAGTGCTTCTCTATTGTACCATAAGACACTGATCAAGCACATGGGCTTTGGAGTCAGCCAGACCTGAATTTGGTTCCTGGCTCCTCCACTTCATAGCTGTGTGACCTTGGACAAATTACTTAACCTTTCTGGGTCTCAATTTCATTATCTTTACTTAATATTTGTGGCTACCTTGTCGGTTTGTTGAATGAACTATTGGATGGGTACTTAGAACACTTAATCAATGTAAATCATGACTGTTTTATTTAAAATATCTGGTCTTGAAAACAATATTTTATTTTCTAGGACCTAACACGAACATCCTTGCCAGCGGCTCAAATGATGGCTCTGACGTTTATCACATATATTGGTTGTGGGATTTCATCAATTTTTCTGTCAGTTACTCTTATAACCTACATAGCCTTTGAGTGAGTATCCATAACTGGAAACTTGGATTACAGGATATAGTGCTCACCTCCATTACCAAAATATATTAAGTGCATTCTCAGCCTTCCTTATCATGTACACACATCTAGTGGAGCCACCTATATGTAAAACTTCATGGTACTTTCTGGTTTATTACATTTGATCCCTGCCATTAGTCTATGCACTCACTGAAGGCAGGGGTTGTATCTGAAATCATCTTTGTACCATAACATGATGCCTGGTACTTAGTTAACATTAAGTGTGAAATGAAAGATGGGTGACAACCCCGAAACCTGACAGCTTACAATCTGAAATAGACCATAGATCCATGTATAGCATAAGAGCTATGTTTAATATACTATGTTTCCAAATTATACCTAGCAAACACAAAAGATTAATATATTAGCACATGTCAGCTGAAGAAGAATAAAGAATGCAAAGCCTCAATGAAAAATATAGAAACTTGATGAGTGTGGCTCTGTAGGTCAAAGCAAAAATGACATTCCAAGGAGCAGAATCTCCTCAGCTTACAGAAGGGTCCCTTCGATCACTTTTTTGGGGGAATTCCAACAAATCTGTTGGAAAAGAAGAAAAAGGCACTTTTATTGTATTAACTAAATGAAACACTATGTAAATTCTGAGATGTAGATTTTGGACCCTGATTAAGAAATGCACAAATTTACTTTGAATGCCAAACTTAGGGTCCAGCTGTGACTACAGATCTTCTAGTGGACCTTTGAAAATATTATTAATGAGACTAAATTACCATAAGGCCAACCATTACTCAGAATGATTTCACCAGATCTAATTTCACACACATAAACATGCACATGTCATCAATTAGCTGTATTTTCCTATGTCTGTTTCACTTAACTATAGTTTAAACTCTTCTTTCCATAATCTCATTTTAACTAATAACATAAGATAACAGGGAAATCTGGCTATGTTTTGAAGATCTGAACATAGGAGCCTATTGTATGAGAAGCAATAGCAATGCTTCTAGAAGTAGTTTGGGAGAAATGGGAGGAGGAGTGTTCAGTAGATTCCACTACAAACTATTTAAAAGGATGGGTCAACAGTCAGCAGAAATACAAACACAAATTTTCTATATGGTTCCACTGACGATTGTTTAGATTTTTCCTTTGTTTTTGGTTTTAATGCCTACACACATACTCAAAGAGGTGAAATTTATGCATATGCAGTAGTCCCCCCTTATCCACGTTTTGATCTCCACAATTTCAGTTACCTGTGGCCACCTCCAGTCTAAAAATATTAAATGGAAAATTACAGACAAACAATTCATAAGTTTTAACTTGCACATTGTTTTGAATGAGTAACATGACAAAAATCTCACACCATACTCCTCCATCCTGCTCAGGACATGAATCATCCCTTTGTCTGGTATATCCACACTGTATACACTACATGCCCATTAGTCATTTAGTAGCTGTCTTGGTTATCACAGTGCTTGTGTTCAAGCAGCCCTTATTTTACTTAATAATGGCTCCAAAGCACAAGAGTAGTCATGCTAGCAATTCAGATATGTGAAAGAGAAGCTGTCAAGTGCTTCCTTTAAGTGAAAGGTAAAAGTTCTCAACTTAATAAGAAAAAGATCGTATGCTGAGGTTGCTAAGATCTACCATAAGAACAAATCTTCTATGAAATTATGAAGAAGAAAAAAGCAATTTGTGCTAGTTTTGCTGTCACGCCTCAAACTGCAAAAGGTACAGCCACAAGTGCATGATATGTGCTTAGTTAAGATGGAAAAGGCTTTAAATTTGTGGGTGGAAGACATGAATACAAAATGTGTTCTGATTGATGGCAACATGTCGCACCAGAAAGCATTGAACCTATTGTATGAAGACTTCAGCAAGCGATCCCCAGAAACAAATAATACCAAGCCACAAGTAAGGGATGGTTAACACAAATCCAGGAGTAGGTTTGGACTGAAGAATATAAAAATTACTGGAGAAAGAAAGACACTACATTCATATAACTTTTATTACTATATTGTTTTAATTGTCCTATTTTATTATTAGTTATGTTTGTTAATCTCTCACTGTGCTTAACTTATAAATTAAACTGTATCATAGGTATGTGTGTATAGGAAAAAAACATAGTATATATAGGGTTTGGCACTATCCACAGTTTCAGGCATCCACTGGGAGTCTTGGAATGTATTCTCTGTGGATAAGGAGGGACTACTAGAGATAGGTGTTTACCAAAGAATAAAAATAAATTGCTTAAAACTCATATATGGACACATAAGGAGAATGTGGTGCTAATTCTTTTCTTGTCCTTTCCTTTTAGAAAGATCCGGAGGGATTACCCTTCTAAAATTCTCATCCAGCTTTGTGCAGCTCTGCTACTTCTGAATCTGGTTTTCCTCTTAGACTCATGGGTTGCTCTGTATGACACCCGAGGCCTCTGCATCTCAGCAGCTGTATTTTTGCATTATTTTCTCTTGGTCTCATTTACGTGGATGGGCCTAGAAGCATTCCATATGTATCTGGCCCTTGTCAAAGTGTTTAATACTTACATCCGAAAATACATCCTTAAATTCTGCATCATCGGTTGGGGTATGTATAATTTGCTTGCATATTGTCTTGGCTTTCTTTGTTTTTTCTCCACTGTTTTGATTTTTAGTCACATAGAGACTATTGAAACAGGTCACACTTGGCAGGTTTCTGAAACAGCTGTATTCTCCTTACATGTTGTACTGCCCAAAGAGCAACCTTGTGAAGTCTCTTTCTAGAACACCTGTATATTTTCCCTGGATTGGTTATGAACATAAAACTCTTAGAAGGGCTTCCAGTCAAGATGGTAGAGTACGTAAATGCAGCACTCACATCCTCCCATGACATCAGAATTACAACTAAACTACAGAACAGCCATCATTGACAACTGCCTGAAGTCTAGCTGAACAGAAGTTCTATAACAAAGGATATAAAGAAGCTACATCCAGACTGGTAGGAGGGGTGGAGATGTGGAACAAGCTGGTCCCTCCAGAGCTGGTTCCTCGCTAGGAAGGTGCCAGGGACATACGAGAGGGATTGAATTGTCTGGCTTCAGGGAGAGGCCTGGAGGAGCTACTTTCTCCCAGACAGAAGTGCTGGCAGAAGCCACTGTTGTTTTGCAGATCCCTCCCCCTACAGGCAGAAGTAGGCACCATATCTGAGTCTCCATCAACCTGGATAACAATGTTCACCCTGACCTGGTAATTTCCTGAGATCCTGTCCCACCCAACTTGCGGGCCTACCCATACTGCTTCCAATGGCTTTTCTATCCAAAGGCCTGTCTTGGCTCATGCTGCAGACTTTCCTAAAACCTCTCAAAGGTTCACAAACCCTAAGCAAGTGGCATCTGGCCTCCGCATGTCCCATACCTCTTATTAAGAAGCCCCAAGCCTGGCACTAGTGGAGGATGGCCTCAGTTCTCAGCGTGGCCTCTGCTAGGCACCTCCAAGTCCACTACATGTGACAACCATCTGCAGATCACTTTGTAGCTCATGATGGGTGGCCCCAGGCAGGGCATGGGCAGGGCACAGGCACTGGCTAACCTTGGCCTTCACCTCCAGGAAGGCCCCAGAGCCAGTGCACCCAATGGACAGCTTCAGACCATTCCAGAGCACCACCCAACCACCTCCATGAGCAACACACTTAAGGCGCAGACTAAAGTAAGTCCTGCTCTGTGGAGTGAGACCCTGCACAGTAGCTCCTCCACTGTAGTCGTAGCTGGCCCTCACAGCCGATTGGCCTGGGAGTTAACACCTCCCATTGACATGCCAACAGCAATCAAGGCTCAATTACAACAGGAGGGTACACACAGCCCACACATGGGGCACACCTGGAGTGCCTAGTTAGGGTGACTGGGAGGCTGTGCCACTGGGCCCCACAAGACACCTACTACATAAGGCTACCCTACCAAGACTGGGAGATGTAGCAGCTCTACCTAATACATAGAAATAAACACAAGGAGGCAACCAAAATGAGGAGACAAAGAAACATGTCTCAAATGAAAAATACAGGATAAAACTCCAGAAAAATAACTAAACACAATGGAGACAAGCAAACTATCAGATGCAGAGTTCAAAACACTCGTCATAAGGATGCTCAATGAACTTAGGGAAAGAATAGATCAACTTAGTAAGAACTTCAGCAAAGAAATAGGAAACAAAAATGGAAATAGAAACATCAAAAAAGACCAGTCAGAAATGAAGAATGCAAGAACTGAAATGTAGAATACACCAGAAGGGAACAATGGTAGATTGGGTGAAGCAGAGGATCAAATTAGCAATTTGAAAGATAAAGTAGCAGAAAACACCCAATTAGAACAGCAAAAAGAACCCCCTAAAAATGAGGATAGTTTAAGGGGGCTCTGGGACAACATCAAGCATACCAACATTCACATCACGTGGGTGCTGGAAGGAGAAAAGAAAGAGAAAGGAAATGAAAACCTATTTGAAAAAAATAATGACAGAAAAATTCCCTAAGTTGGCAAAGGAAATAGACATGGAAGTCCAGGAAGTGCAGAGAATCCCAAACAAGAGGAACCCAAAGAGGCCCACACCAAGACACATCATAATTAAGATGCCAAAGGTTAAAGGCAAAGAGAGAATCTTAAAAGCAGCCAGAGAAAAGCAGTTAGTTAGCTACAAGGGAGCTCTCAGAAGACTTTCAGCTAATTTCTCAACAGAAACTTTGCAGGCCAGAATTGGCACAAAATATTCAAAGTGATGAAAAGCAAGGAGCTACAACCAAGATGACTCTGCCCTGCAAGGCTATCACTTAGAACTGAAGGACAGATAAAAGGCTTCCCAGACAAGAAAAAGCTAAAGGAGTTCATCACTACCAAACCAGTAATAAAAGGAATGTTAAAGGGTCTTCTTTAAGAAGAAAAAAAGGACCAAAATATGAATAAAATAGCAATAAATACATATCTATCAACAATTACTTTAAATGCAAATGGATTAAATGTTCCAATCAAAAGACACAGAGTGGATGAATGGATAAGAAAACAAGACCCATATCTATGCTATCTACAAGAGACTTACTTCAGATCAAAAGACACACACAGACTGAAAGGAAAGGAATGGAAAAAGATATTTCATGAAAATGGAAATGAAAAAAAAAGTTGGGGTAGCAATACTTACAACAGACAAAACAGACTTTAAAACAAAGTCTATACCCTGGCCAGAGTGGTTCAGTTGGTTGGTGCATCATCCCATGCACCGAAAGGTTGTGAGTTTGATTTCTGGTCAGGGCATATACCAAGGTTGTAGGTTTGTTTCCCAGTTGGGGTGCGTATGGGAGGCAGTGGATCAATGTGTCTTTCTCATATTGGTGTTTCTCTCTCTTTCTCTCTCTCCTTTCCTCCCTAAGTAGTTATAATAAAAAATAAAACAAATTCTATAAAAAGAGACAAGGAAGGACTCAGCAATTTCCACTTCTTAGTATTTATCTAAGAAACTCAAAACACTAATTCTAAAAGACACATGCATCCATATGTTCATTGCAGCATTATTTACAATAACCAAGATATGGAAGCATCCTAAGTGCCCATCAATAGACAAATGGATAAAGAAGATGTGGTACATATACACAATGGAATATTACTCGGCCATAAAAAAGAATGAAATCTTGCTACTTGTGACAACATGTATGGACTTAGAGAGTATTGTGCTGAGTGAAACAAGTCAGACAGAGAAAGACAAATACCATATGATTTCACTTATATACAGAATCTAAAGAACAAAATAAACAAAGCAGAAACAGACTCAGTTACAGAGAACATTTTTTATGGTTACCAGAGGGGAGGGGGTTTGGGGGCTGGATGAAAAAGGTGAAGGGATTAAGAAGCACAAATTGGTAGTTACAAAATAGTCATGGGGATATAAAGTATAGCATAGGGAATATAGTCATTAATATTGTAATAGCTATGTATGATACCAGATGAGTACTAGATTTATTGGGGCGATCACTTTATAAGTTATATAAATGTCTAATCACCACGTTGTACACCTGAAACTAATACAATATTGTAAGTCAACAGTAATTGAAAAATTGAAAAATATTTTACAAAAAACTATTTGAGGTTAGAGCTATGAATTCTCTTTGTACCTCCAGCAACTAGAATTGGAGCTTGCACACAGAAGGTGCTCAATACATTGAAAAATTTAGCTTGGTAACAATGAGGCCAAACTCTCAGTCCTAAGCTTCCAGCTAGCCTCACTCTGTTCTGTACCTCCCAGATATCACACACATGTATGATGGTATGCTCAGAAGGGCAGAGTGAGAGAATATACAGATAAAATCTAATGTAACTTTATTGTCACACTGGTACAATATTTCAGATCATGCCACCTATTGGTGGTGGGTCAAGCTGTCCAAAATGAAAGATTTTTATAGCATAAGGAAGCAGGAACAAAAAAGCAGGTTGTTTTCTACAAGGTCACTTTCCTTTAGGGGATGGCAGGGGTCTATCAGGCAGATTACCTAATTAGTGCTCATAAGGCAATTCCTGATTGACTGGTGTGAGATTCCATTTCTGGGAGAGCTGAAACTGTAATTAAATCTCCATTTGGTGACATGGGGCTTAGCATAAGCAACTCCATTTGAGGCCTGTTGACTTATTTTTAATACTTTACAAGGCAGCCAGTAACAATTTCCTAAAGCTCTACAGTTCTATTTTTCCGTTAAATTCACTTGGCTCTCTGTTGTCACTCATCCAGTGGTCTTGGTTTTATTCTCTTAGGCAAAAACAAACAAACAAACAAACTGACATCTCTTCTGCCAAAGAGTCCTTTAGATAATCTATAAGTAATATATAACGTGATGTATAATGCCTCATTTTTCAATGTATTTTCACACAAGTGACCCCATGAAAGACAAGTCAGTGAGGTTAACAAGGCAGTTATTGCTAACTCTAGGGGAAGAAACCAACTCAAAGTGATGACATGATTTACCGCAATTCACACAGCTCAAGACCAGCAGAGCCTGACTTTCTGATTTCTTATGCATATTCCTTCCACTGTATTACAGATGCAGTCCCTCCCAAACTCCCTACTCTTCCTCAAGCTAAATATTCTTTCAAATATTCCCTACACAACAGGATTGAAGACCCTTTATCACCCTTGTCACCCCACCTGTCATTATATCTTTATGAAGAATAAGAGAACACCTTTCCAGAAAGATGTCACTTTTTCCAAGAAAAATAAGTCACTGCTTCTGACATTGGTACAAATTCTGTCTTCTTTGTAGAATCCTGAAAGGTCAGATTCCATTGTCAAGGACTAGTTCCATACTCCCAATATCTTATTTTTATGAAAGTGTCTCACTTTGGAAGTCATGTCATTGTATCCAGAAGGTACAAATATAAAAGAATTAAATGAAATATTATGTTAGATTGTACCAGGAAACTCAACCTGTCTGTGAGAATGAATTTTTTTTATATATCCAGAGCCTTGAGATTCGATGTCAGGCTGGTCTGTGTGAGGTGTCTGCATGGGGTCGGGTGGAGGGTGATGGGGTGGAGAGGTGAGAAGGACTCCTTCTCAGCCAAAAGCCAATTTAAGCCAGGAGTAGCCTTCTCATTGGCCTCCTCTTAGTGGAAGTGCCTGCGGGCCCTTGAGAAATCCAGCATAGTGGCAGTCATCACCCCCAAATCAATGAGGTAAGATTTTTCCATCAATGGGTTCCAGATAACCAATCAGGGACTTTTGAGTTCATAATGAAAGATTTGTCAGGAGTTCCTGGTAATCCCAGTAAGTCGACTATGACACACATTTTGCTTACATTTTGGAGTCCTTCACTTTACCTTCCATGTGACACTTAAAATTACATTCCAGGCATGTATTAGATAAGAGTAACATTAGCCACTGTAGTGGACAAACCCTGAAATCTCAGGAGAAGATTAATTTCTCACTCACGCGCAGTCCAGTTAGCAGGAGCAGTTGACTTGTCTTGCAGCTATTCAGGATCCAAGCCTCTGGAGACTGCTCTGTCTCAAGACAGGGCTTCCAAGATAGCCCTGAATTTGGGAGAAAAAAAGAGTGGAGGATCTCACAGGAGGTTTTTATGTGACAGGCCTAGAGGTGGAGTAGGTCACTTTTGACCATTTCCCATTGGCCAAGACCTAGCCGCAAGGGAGGCTGGTAGATGTTCAGCTGTGTGCCAAGGAGGAAGAAAAACTGGATTTGGTGAACAGTTCACCAGTCCCTTCTGCCAGAAGAAAACAGACTATGATCTCTATTCTTTCTTCTCACCACCTTTGGTTATTAGAACTATGTGTGACCTATGTTTCCCATCTTCCAGGAGTACCAGCCGTGGTTGTGACCATTGTCCTGACTATATCCCCAGATAACTACGGGCTTGGATCCTATGGAAAATTCCCTAGTGGCTCGTCCGATGACTTGTGAGTATAAAGCCCCCAAGGGAATGTTAAGTGAACTAGAAAACAGAATTCTCCAAGAAAGTGAAGGATCTAATTAGCATATTGACTCTGCTCTCATCCTAATAAAATCCACTAACATTTATAGCATCCTTCATAGATTGTATATATAAAATTAGATAAACTAGTTGGAATGCCATGCTAGTAGTTAAGTATTAAGAAAACAAGTTAGAAGGAAGTATTCTGAAAATACTGTTATAAGCCTATGATAAAAACGAAATATCAGTTACATTATGTTAGTAAAGACTCATAGAATAAAGTCACTAGGATTTAAAGGGAGTAAAATCCTGAATGTTATCAAAGAATAATTTTTAATACTTTCAGCCACCAAGTGTCCTAAAATAAACTGTTTTAGGTTTTTTCCCTATAGGTATAAATGATTCTGTAGAACAGTGGTTTTGTTGCCCCCCCCCTTTTTTTTACTTGTAGAAATTTTTCAGTAAAATGATACAAATTAATTGCATCATTTTGAACCATATTTCAGCATTGTAATATGTTTTCCCCTGTTTTTTCCCCCTCCCAATTACAGTTGCTGGATCAACAGCAATGTTGTATTCTATATTACAGTTGTGGGATATTTCTGTGTAATATTTTTGCTGAACATCAGCATGTTCATTGTGGTCCTGATCCAGCTCTGTCGAATTAAAAAGAAGAAGCAACTGGGAGCCCAGCGAAAAACCAGTATTCAAGACCTCCGGAGCGTTGCTGGCCTTACATTTTTACTGGGAATTACTTGGGGCTTTGCCTTCTTTGCCTGGGGACCAGTTAACATCACCTTCATGTATCTCTTTGCCATCTTTAATACCTTACAAGGTAAGCTCTATAGCACTAAATCAGCACTGAATGATCCCAATTGCACTTAAAAATATCACTACTAAAAGAGTATCTTCAAGGTGGTTTATTTAGTTGCTTAAGATATATTCGTGAAAGGGTGCTTGGAGATCCTTGGAAGAAAGGTGTTCATTAAATTCAGGAAGTGGTACTTTTTTCCTCTTTTTCCATCATCTCCCTGAAGAGAACATACTGAGGGTAACCTGCCAGGAACTCTTTCTGGGAGTCAATTACTCTTCCTTCACTTAGTTTCTTACTTTTTGTTTTTTGTTTTAACTTTGTTGAAATAGAACATCCATACAGAAAACTACACATGCCATAAATGGCCGTGAGGTCTCACCACTCTGACCTCCTTGGCTGTGTTTGACTGGGAGACAATGATAAATATGGAGTCAATAGACAGACCCAAGTGGCAGCAGCCTGACCCAGTGGCTAATCCTGAGAAGTTGCTCTGCTGAGACATGCAGCAGGAAAGGGTCAGGCTTTGTGTGTCAACTTTACTTCAGAGCTTCCCGTTTGTTAATGAAGCCCAGCTGTAGTCATTTTGAACCCTCTTAGCTATATTCTTTGGAAAAGCAAATTACTAATTCTTTTAGACCAGTGTTATAAAAGACTTGTCAGCTCTGATTAATTTTTAATGGAAGTACAGTACTTTGGCATCAAAAGCCAAGCAGCCTAATAGGTTTGCATTACAATAACAATAATTCATGTCCCTTGGTTCCCTTTTATTCCAAATCCTCTGCTGGGATGCCTTTTAATTGCATTCTCATCTGTTTGTTTTCATCTTTTCCTGTTGCTTTTAGTTCCCATAGCATCCTCCTGCAGTTCTATCAGGCAATACATCGATTTGCTTGTTTTCCAAGAAACCCCAATGTGAGATTGAATTCAAATGCCTAATTTAGCTGTTGGTTCTTATTTTATTTGGAGGAAGCCAGTTAATATGCTTGTTGGTTACATAAAATTGTTAATTTTAACCTACAATGTACCAGTTCTTGAATTGGTATATCTAGGTGTTGCACTATATAGTATTAAATAGAAAAGTTTTATTTGCCAACAATGGCATGCTATAAATAAGAGACACTTTAAAAGAAAAAAATATGTCAAACAAGTGCTGGCGAGGATGTAAAGAAAATGGAACCCTTGTGCACTGCTGGTGGGAATGCAGATNGTGCTTGGAGATCCTTGGAAGAAAGGTGTTCATTAAATTCAGGAAGTGGTACTTTTTTCCTCTTTTTCCATCATCTCCCTGAAGAGAACATACTGAGGGTAACCTGCCAGGAACTCTTTCTGGGAGTCAATTACTCTTCCTTCACTTAGTTTCTTACTTTTTGTTTTTTGTTTTAACTTTGTTGAAATAGAACATCCATACAGAAAACTACACATGCCATAAATGGCCGTGAGGTCTCACCACTCTGACCTCCTTGGCTGTGTTTGACTGGGAGACAATGATAAATATGGAGTCAATAGACAGACCCAAGTGGCAGCAGCCTGACCCAGTGGCTAATCCTGAGAAGTTGCTCTGCTGAGACATGCAGCAGGAAAGGGTCAGGCTTTGTGTGTCAACTTTACTTCAGAGCTTCCCGTTTGTTAATGAAGCCCAGCTGTAGTCATTTTGAACCCTCTTAGCTATATTCTTTGGAAAAGCAAATTACTAATTCTTTTAGACCAGTGTTATAAAAGACTTGTCAGCTCTGATTAATTTTTAATGGAAGTACAGTACTTTGGCATCAAAAGCCAAGCAGCCTAATAGGTTTGCATTACAATAACAATAATTCATGTCCCTTGGTTCCCTTTTATTCCAAATCCTCTGCTGGGATGCCTTTTAATTGCATTCTCATCTGTTTGTTTTCATCTTTTCCTGTTGCTTTTAGTTCCCATAGCATCCTCCTGCAGTTCTATCAGGCAATACATCGATTTGCTTGTTTTCCAAGAAACCCCAATGTGAGATTGAATTCAAATGCCTAATTTAGCTGTTGGTTCTTATTTTATTTGGAGGAAGCCAGTTAATATGCTTGTTGGTTACATAAAATTGTTAATTTTAACCTACAATGTACCAGTTCTTGAATTGGTATATCTAGGTGTTGCACTATATAGTATTAAATAGAAAAGTTTTATTTGCCAACAATGGCATGCTATAAATAAGAGACACTTTAAAAGAAAAAAATATGTCAAACAAGTGCTGGCGAGGATGTAAAGAAAATGGAACCCTTGTGCACTGCTGGTGGGAATGCAGATTGATGCAGCCACTATGGAAAACAGTGTGGAGTTTCCTCAAAAAATTAAAACGAACTACCGTTTAACCCAGTGATCCCACTTCTGGGAATATATCCTAAGAATCCTGAAACACTGATCAGAAAGAATTTATGCACCCCTATGTTCATAGCAGCACAATTTATAATAGCCAAGATCTGTAAACAGCCCAAGCGCCCATCAGTAGATGAGTGAATAAAAAGCCGTGGGACAGTTACACCATGGAATACTATGCAGCTGTAAAGAAGGATCTCGTACCCTTTGGACAGCATGGAGGGAATTGGACAGTATTATGCTCAGTGAAATAAGCCAGGCAGAGAAAGACAAACATCACATGATCTCACTTATATGTGGAATCTAATGAACAGAATAAACTGATGAACAGAGTAGGTCCAGAGGCACGGATACATGGAACAGACTGACAGATGGCAGAGGGGAGGGGGAGGAGGATGAGAAGAGATTAACCAAAGAACATACAGAGTGGGGCAAAGTAGGTTTACAGTTGTTCGTATGGAAAATAATACAATAATAAATAATAATACAAGAATAAACTCTTTCATGTACTCCAACTATAAACTTGCTTTTGCCCCACCCTGTATATGCATAACCCATGGACACAGACAATAATGT